CATCTGCAGCTGTTGTCATTATCTTTGTTTTCCTGATGTTAAAACTCAATCCTACTTTTTTCACTTTCATCCTTGATTTTCCAGATTTTGATTTTTCCAAGTCTTCCTTATTTTCATAGTATTGTATCACCTACCTACTTCAAATCATTTATGGTTCTTCCCCTAATCTTCACTCCAACATCAAGACAGTTCTGCAGGATCTAATTTCTGTAGGATCACTCCAGCATATACAAAAAGGTTGAACAAAAAAGGTGATAAAATACATCCCTGTCTAACTCCCTTACTGATCCTGAACCAGTCTGGGTCACCATCAAACCTTCTCACTGTTGCCTCCTGATCAGTGTAGAGTGACTTAATGAGTCTGTTCAGGTGTGTTTGAACACCAAGATCATGCAAAGCTGCCCATAGCTCATTGTATTCTACACAGACAAATGCTTTTCTGTAATCAATAAAAGCATATAAAGATTCTTTTGATATTTGATAATCCATCTAATATCAAATGCCATGCCCCTTTCTAAAGCCAGCTTATTCATTGGGTAACTTTTGATAGATGATATTCTATAGCCCCGGTTTAACTATTTTTAATGGAATTTTGCTTACATGAAAAATCAATGCAATTGTGTAATAGTTGGAGCAGTCTTTGGCATTGCCTTTCTTTACTAATGGATAAAAACATATCTTTTCTAGTCCTGAGGCCATTGACATGTAATCCATATCTCTTGACACAGGGCAGTGATGATGTTAACTGGCACTGGTCTTAGTAATTCTGCAGGTATTCCATCAATACCTGGGGCTTTCCAGTTTGGCAATTTCTCCATGGCCCATTCTACTTCTCCTTTCAAGATGTTTAGTTCTTTGTTAATTGGTCTTTCAACATTGTCATCTTGATGGTATGTCAAACTGCTACAGAGTCCTTCTGTATATTCTTTCCATCTGTTCTTGGTCTCCTGCTGGTCACTTAATACATTTTTGCTGTGGTTTTTAACAGTTCTTTTCCATGCTGAAAAGCTGGATCTCATCATTTTCACTACAGCAAACATGACCTTAGTGTGTGTCCCTTCCTATTAGGTTCTTCCAGATTGTTGACACTGCTCCTCTCACTGCCTATTTTTGCCTTTCCTGGTGTCATGTTGGAAAATTGCATTCAGCTTTCTAACTTCATCCTTATTACCTTTGGCTTTGGCCACCCTTTGCTGATTAGCTGTTTTGACGTCAGATAGCCACTTGTTTGTTCTCTTTGCTTTTTGGCATGACACATGCTTTCCAGCAATTTCCATGATATTACCTTAGATCTCTTACCACTGTTCATTTGGATCTTTCCCTTCTAAATTCATGAATGAATAAATATGAATCATATTTGAAGAATTGGGGAGAGACAATTTGTGAGTCTAGGATTCAGTTCACTCTAAGAGGCTCTTCACCAGCCTTTCTAAACCAGGCATGAACCACCCTTAAGCATTTTCATGTCTTTCTTCAAAAGGCTTAAAATGGTGAGAAATCAAATGGATACAATTACCATCTTGTGTCTTCACCGTAGCCTGTAATTAACTGTAGCTCGACATAACATGCCATTAGCCACCTTCTGCTTCACTTCTTGATGAGATGAATTGACACTTGCAAGAGGCATGGAACTAACATGCTAGTGGCAGGCAGCAAGCTGGGGAAGGCCAATATAAATGTGGAAGAGAAAAAGGGAGTGCAGTCATCAGATTTTACAAGCATTAGTATCTCAAACAAGGGCATTTAGTCTTTGGCCTCAGTATAGACTATACTGCCCTTCAGCTAAATGCAAAATTGCAGGTGACAGGGTAGGAATTGTCCTACTACAGCAACATTTGGAAAGCCACAATATCTGCATCATATGGCCAAGATGTGTCTTAACCACACTGCCAACCTCTCTGCTGTTCTTCCCTACAGATGGTTATAACTCATTCTCCTGACAATGAACCTCAGCATCGTTGTCTTACAAAAGAAAGCATACCGTAACCAACTTTGCATCGCCTTAGAAGGACAGAGAGAGTGATGTTTTTAATGGGCTTCTCTTTAATAGGATTCAGGCTTGCCAATTAATTACCAGTCAGCCAAGCAGCTGCTGAAGAACGGCCTTTATTACCTCTTCCCCAGCGCTGGGTTAATCTCTTTTCAAGTGAGCAGCTACATTATCCAAGCCAGTGGCTTCGTTCTCATTCTCACATCAATGGGTAATTAAATCGCGGTCTGCAGGGCGCCAGCTGGTCACCTTGCCCTCTCAGTAACTCTTGCTAACCCTGATGCTGGCATTATTGGGGGAAGAGTGCCCTCCAATCCATCAGACTGGAATTGCTAACATAGTTTTCTCAGGAAGACGCAGCCAGTTCTAGAAAGAGGCTGAAGGGTTAAACAAATGGAACCATCATAAAAACACTAGCCACTAGCCATCATTTTGTAAGCAAGCAGGTATGTGTTAAGTTCCTTTTCTCATGTTTTATTTCATATATCTTTCTCTCTCTCTCTTGGTAAGTGTGGACACCCAATGACTGCCTGGATGAGGCCCTGCCACTTTCTTGGTGAGGTTTTTCAGAAGTGGCTTGCCCTTGTCTCCTTCCTAGGACTGAGATAGTATGACTGGGCCAAGGATATTGAGCGGGCTTTGTGTCTAAGGCATGAGTAGAACTCAATCTCATGGTTTCTAGTCTAGCTGTTTAACCACTACATCAAACTGGCTCTCATTTTGGCTGCTCTTTTAATTTTTATATAAGGCACACTCTAAAGACCTTTTATCTTGCAATAGGATTTTATATCTAGTGCTAAAGAGCTTAATGAACTGTGGTTGGTTGGGTAAACCTCAATTGGCTGAATTTGTACCATAGATTAAGCTACAAATCAGTTTCCAAACTACAGTAATTGGGTTTGCCTAATGCACAGCTAAACCCAACCTAAACCATATAATGGCTTGAAGTGATGATTACCGGATCAATATAAGAAGGGATTGTAAAAAGAAGCAAGGCTGATTATGAAAGCCTTCACAGAGTTCCATAATTACTATATAAGTGATGAATGACAGTTTAAATGACTTCCTCCAAAGACACTGACTGGATCCATATACCATGTTAAGTCTTAATATGCTTTGTTTGGCTTGGTGTGACATGTGAACCTACCATTAGAACATAGAGTTGTATGAACCAAATCAGAGCTTGTGTATACAAATCTTTTCAGAAGGGGAAAAAGAACACCTAAATGGTCATGCAATGCATAAACCCAGTATGAAATTTGGAAAAAACTCCTCCATCAGATCAAGTTGCTCCTAGTTGTGAACATTTTCCAATTTAGCACCATAAGAAATAAATGCATTAATAGTTTTAACCCTGAGAATATTGACAACTTCCAAGAAACTTGGGGAAAAAAATAAGATCTCTGCCTTTTCAAAAGTTGAGAGGCGAAGAATGACTATAAATTTTGGAACTATCTGTGCAAATTCATACGAAGTTGTGGGTTAAATCAGCATAAACTTAATATTTAGTAGTAAGCAATTTGCATATGAATGCTCTATATTTATTTGACAAGTCATTCAAGGGATGTGAATGACATACAAGAGCCACACTGAAATCTTTTTCTTAAAACCCTTTTCTGAATTATATTTGCATTTATTTGTTGCTAGAATGCTATAAAGTTTGGTCATTTGTGTAAGCAAAATAATTATATCTGGATCATCTGAACATATGGATCCTTACACCACCAATGAGGTTCCTTCTTTATATTTACAATGATAATTGTTTTTTGCAATAAGGACACTAGATCTTTAGGGGTATAATGCTAGTTAATATTAGTGAAAGACCATGCCCAATAACAACCCAAAATATGCTCAAATATCTCTCTCTGTGGATGTATATATGAAATCTGGGCATTTTTCAGGAAATAAATGCTACTTTGAGAAAAGATTTCTACGCCACATTCAAACCTGTTTGTGTGTGGTAAAAATAAAGGCATCCTCAAGCAGAACTCAACTCCTGGTCAGCAATAATATTAAAATATTTCATATTTGCCCTTCTTTTTTCAGGATGTTTATTTGCAGCCCAGCCTACGTGTGTTGTTTTTTTTTAAGTGATCTCCCTTCTAATGGCTTGACTAAGCCCATCTGTGACTTGTGTGCTAATAAAGCATAAGTTGAAAATTTCTCCGAAATGACCTTGTATCAGAACAAACCATACCCTATAGTTGAATGGATGGTACCAAAGTTTTTCGTGATTGACTAACATGCAGTTTGTAGCTGTCTTGTTTTTTTTTTTTAAAAAAAAATTGCAGCTAATCTTGGGGGATCCTTAGCAAAGTAAATGTTTGATTGCTGGGGAAAAAGTGGATTTGAGGTAGTGCTTTTTTGCATAGAAAATGACATTGGAAACAATGTAGATTGCATCCTTCAGTGAACTACTTTATGCAGTTCCTTTTGGAAGCTCCGCCAGTTACATATATAGCTACAACTATCTTGGTTTGTATTAGAATCAAACCATATCATTTTGTTCAAAACAAGGAAGCTGCTCTGATAGTGTCTTTAAAGGAAACATGGAAGGGCTATGAATTAGGCTACCAAATGAACTTCTGAACTTCAAATTTCTTGACAAGCTTCTGCTCTAGAGATCAACTATCATGAACAGAAAGATGTAAACTAGTTGGATTTGGAATTCTGGGAGTTGAAGTCCCCAGATCTTAAAATTGCCAAATTTAAAAAATACTGGTGTAATTAATAGTTGCTCTGCCTGTTTTAATACCTTCAATGGTACACATTAGGCTTATGAGAATGTTTATTCATCTTTTGGATTAAATCAGGTCACCAAGTTTCAAAGCATCCAAATGATGGCCTGAAGATCCCTTTTCATGATTAAACTATTTTGCTTCTTCAAATAGGCAGAAGTTTACGATCCTTCCTGGGAAAAAAACACAATTCATTTTATGATTGAACAGCTTGTTATGAGACTTGGTTAGTTCAAAAGGTGAAATAACCATAAAACCATTCAAATTGCAGTTTGATTCTTTATTAAAAGGACCCAATGTGCCAGTTCAATGCTTTGTAAACCAGGCTTGGAAAACAATGTGCAAATAAAGGCATGGGGTGAGGTGGAGGGAATATAATGAAGACAGCTATAGCCAAGGAAAGAAGATAACCCAACAAAAGTGGAATGGTCACCCCTTTTTCTCTTTCCCCCTTTCCCCAATTATTCCTGGACTTCTTGCTCTGGCCCAAAACTCTATTAGAAAAAAAAAATATGGCCGCTGCAGATCTTGAGACTCAATAGGCACTCTGTGTGTGTGTATGTGTGTGTTTGTGTTTGTGTGTCTGTGTGTGTGTATGTATATATATATATATATATACTCTATTAGATGCTTAGAAACAAAAATAACTTTTATCTGACCCTTGCACTAAAATATTTTTTTTTTAAAGCAAAAAAGGGAGAACTGTAACTTTCAATGTATTTTGTCCCTCGTTCAGTTCCACTCCCTCTCCTCATCCTAATATTTGTGGGTTGTGAATATTTTTTTAAAAATCCCTTAAAAGAATATGGGGAGAAACTTTCCACTTCCATGTACCTGTAAGAGAGCTTTACTTTTGAAACCAGAGGGGCAAACACTGCAATGAAGCCATAAAACAACTCCAAGTGATCCAATGCAAAGAGGGCTCTGCAGAATTGAGTTTTTAGCGCATGTATATTTCGTACCTGATATAGCCCCTGCCTGTATCTTGTGCCTTCAAATTGCATTTGATTTGGATCAGGTTTTCTCCCTTTCCTTCTTTCCTCCTTGCCCAGTGAAGTGAATGGAGGGGGGGGGGGGGGAGGATCTGGGAAAACATGAGGGTGTGGAGACACCATCCAACCATGTGGGGGGTAAATGTCTTGAGGCTTGGTTGGATGCAGATGCGTACTTCTCCCACAATACGAGAGGAAGACCACTATCAGTAGAGGAGATATACCAAGAGCACCGGTTGCCCAGTGACAGTATCACAGTTCTTCTGAATGCTGCAATGTTTTCTCCAACCATTCTCAAATGTACTCTCTCCCGTTGTCGCACAAAATGCACAGAAACAAAAATGATACAGTACAGAGTCTAGTCAGCACCGTTGAGCTCACCCAAATTCTGCATAGCCTCTAGCTGTGTGAATGGAAGAAGGTGGCCTGAGTGTGATTGCTGCTCCTCCCACTTAACTCCCTCTGGTTCATTCAAGGTAGCATCAGTCTGGGAAGCCTTTCAAAGTTGTCCTGGCTCCCTGCAACTGCTGCCGTGGCATGGCGTGGCCATGGTGAGTCTCTGCAGTCTCCATTTCTTATTGGCCAGCTGCTAGCCACCAGGAGCGTATTCACACTGACAAATCCTTTGAGCTTCACCCTTGCATCTAGCATATAGAGCATTGACTGTAGCAATTCAACTGGCTCCTATTTACAGCTCGCAGAGCCCTAACCCGTTCCCCTCCGAGGAAAGCTTTGGTTGGAGGACAAAACAAACAAACAAATCAAACCCCAATAAACTATTCTGAGAAACATCAACTTACATTCCCCCCCACCTCTTTCTAGAAAACTGATCTGCAGGGAGGTGTGACTATAATACCAAATGTCCTCTTAGCTTCGAGGCTCCCAGTTTTACCCTGTTGCCTTCCACCCTTCTTTCAACAAGAGGCCTGAAAACAAGCTTATCTCCTATTTTGCTCCAGATGTTCATCTGCAGACAGATGAATTCCTTTGAGGAGCACTGTGCAATATTAGAAACAGGAGCCGTCACTGAATTCAAACTCGGTTATGCCTGATTGTCTCCAACAACATCACATTACTTCTGAAAAGTAACACACCTGGACCCAAAAGTCATGGTTGTTATTAAATCCATCCTTTTTTGTTGTTACCCCTTTTTCTTCTTCTTCTTTCTTTCTTTTAGACCCATCAAACAAAGGAAGAGAACCCAGCGATAGGGGCTCTGGACCCAGGGGCAAGGCTACTGGGTGGTCGGTAGAGAGTGCTCTGCTGACTAGGTGGATTGACTGGAGTTTGTGGGGTTGGAGTCCTACTGGGTTTGGGTCGGAAGAGACTGCCTTGTTGGGTACTGGTGCTGTTGGACATAGGGCAATGGTCAGGATCCCCAGAGTCACTTTCTGTATAACTGTAGGCCTGAGCCCGAGAGATGCCCTTCTGCTGGCGCCTCCATGAGTTGTAGTAAGTTGGGTCGCTGATGTAATGGTTGACAAAAGAATGGGCTTTCTGATGGTTCTGATCCACTTCGTACTCACTATCGCTTCCCTGTGGAGGGAGATGGAAAAAAAATGGTCAGAGCAAGGGTGTCAAATTGCATTGTGGGCCGTATCGTGACTATTCCGTGAGGTACTCTGAGTCTGAGTCCAATATCAGGAGCTGGAGTGGGCGTGGCCTATGCGGGCCATATGTGGCCCATGGGCCCCATGTTTGACATCCCTGGGATAGAGAAGCTAATCACCTTCTGGGTAGAAAGAAAATAAATGACTGAGCCAAGGCCTGCATCTGCTCTTCAGGCAGAACAAAGTCACACTTGGTATGATGTCAAATGACCCCGCCACAGGCTAAAGGCAATATAAAACTTTTTATCACACATCAATCAGTCTGTGAACTCAGATAAATTATGTGAAATTTCTCTAGATATTTTAAAAAAACAAGCTGGAAAGTTAGAAGTAACAACATAGAACATTTCCACAATATTATGCCATCTATGGATTCTTTTTTCTAGACAAATATGCACTATATACTACACTACACTACATCACAGTAACTTTGTCGGGCCTTTCATACTTTTTTATTACCTTGTGTATAATTGGCCTTTTATACTTTTCTATAATTGTATTCTTAAATTATTAGCCATTTGGGGAATATTTTATATCGAATACATACTATTTATTTTTTAAAATATATTTATAATTATAGATGGACTGTTGGATAGCTTGTAAGGAACAGTTTACTTTTCATTATTAATATGGAAACGCTTTCATTCCCACATCGCACTCCAATTTTATTTTAAAGAACAACAAGTCCGTGAGGCAGGTTAGACTGAGAGTGACTGGCCCAAAGACACCTAGTAACTTTCCATTACTGAGTAGAAGCTGGATCTACCTGCTCCTAATCCAACCCCTTTGCCCTACAGTGCACTTTTAACATTGAACATTTCAGAAAACTGGAATAATTTGGCTATTAAAATGGTAATTTGGAAGGCTGTACTCTAGTAGTATGCTGCATGCAGCTGCCAAAACAAAGCCAATGCAGCCCTAGGCTGCATCAACAGATGGATAGAATCAATCTGTCCAATCACACTTGGCCAATAAAGAATTCTATTCTATTCTATTCTATTCTATTCTATTCTATTCTATTCTATTCTATTCTGTTCTATTCTGTTCTGTTCTGTTCTGTTCTGTTCTGTTCTGTTCTATTCTATTCTATTCTGATCACATGAAGTGTTAACACAACTATATAAGGCCGCACATGGAATACCGCACATGGAATACCGCATCTAGTTTTGGTCACCACAATATAAAAAAGATGTTGAGATTCTAGTCTAGAAAGAGCGCAAAGAAGAGCAACAAAGCTCATTAGGGGACCGAAGGCTAAAACAAATGAAGAATGGTTGAAGGAATTGGGTCTGTCTAATTTAATGAAAATAAGGACTGGGGTGACATAGTATCTAAGGGGTGTCCCAATATCAAAAGGGCTTCCACAAGGAAAAGTGGGGGTCAACCTATTTTCCAAAACACCTGAGAGCAGGACAAGAAGTAACATATGAAAACGTACCAAAGAGAGATCCAACCCAGGACTAAGAATAAATTTCCTGACAGTAAGAACTTTCTAGTATTAAAAGTCATCTGCTGGTAATGGAATATTTATTCTCTGAGAACATCTGTATTTTAAAGAATGTTATAGAGGGAAGAAAAGAAAAAGAATTGGGTAGGGCAGGGCAAACTTGGCACATTTCCCCCCTTTCAACTCTGCCTCTGTTCTCGTTAATTGAATTCAGCTTCTCAGTTTGCAGACGCACAATAGAGATCTTTCATGAGAATCGCCCCCCCCCATCCCCCAGCTAGGGAACAGATCAAATTGCAGGTTTCAGCTTGCTTAGCGCTCCAAGAGTTTCTCAACGGGGGGACTCATTTGCACTAATTTCATCAGGGAGAAGGAAGTGGGAGACAAGAAGGTCTTGACATCCAGGTGATTGAGAGAAGTGAAACCAAGGTGGTGAACAAGGAGAGAAAGTAAGACACTGTGTGCTCTCCCCCATGCCTAAAACAGAGAGATGGGAAGGGAAATGTGCAGGCCCTTTATTTCAGAGATGCCCGAAGCTAAGCAGCAATGCAGGGAAGATGAAGTAATACAAAAGGAACTTCCAGAATATACTGTAAACGAGCCTTTGATTATAAACTGGCATTTTCGCATCATAAATCAGTCACTAAACCACTTTAGCGTGGAATCTTAATGCTTCCCGCTCTATCATGAGCGGGAGCTTTTTATATATTCTTGTTTTAGAAAAAGAAGGTAGTTATGACATTTCACAGAAAATGTAGTATCCAGTCATGTTGCTTTATATGTTGATGGCAAGTTATGTGTTATTAAAAGAAAGAGGAAGTGCATACGATAATTTTAACTATAAGTGCGGCATTAGAACAGCTACCATTTAAAAAGTGGTGCAAAGTATTCCTTCATGATAGAAAAGACTGTGGTCAGATGACTTGTGTACCTGTTTAATCTGCAATTAACTATGCTTATAGTTCCTGGATGTGACTCTTCAATAGAGGGTTGTCTGGATTCAAACACAGGACTATCTGGCCACATTAATTTTAGAGGTTATGAAAGTCTGCAGCCCTCAATCTCAGGAGCTTTGTGATCCTCTCTCCACTCCTTTAAAACCAATGCTATGTGTTTCACTTCACATTTATTACACTACATTTTATAGATTATCTTGGGGCCGCATCAGGTAGTCCTCGACTTATGACCGTTTGCTTAGCAACTGTTTGAAATTACAATGAACCTCCCTGAGGGTACTTATAACCCGGATTCAAAGTGTCATGTGATTGCACTTGGGGCTTTTGGCAACCAAACTTCATTTACATACATTTGCAGTATCCTGCAGTCACATGACCACAGCTTTATGATGGTTTTGCCAATAAAGGCAATTTAGTTTCAAGTTTCTAGCAAAATCAGCCATATGGTTGGTTCTATGGGTTTACTTAATGACCACAGCATTGTCTTAAAGACCACAGCATTCAGTTAATGACTGCCACAATAAAGATTGTTAAGATTGGGTTGGTCAAATAACCAACATGATACACGTACATCATAATTCATGGCTGTAAATGGGCAGGTTCATTACGGTTATAGTTCTAGGACTACTTATATGCGTACACCAAGGATCATGCTAAATCAGTACAACTGTGCTTTCTGCAACATAAGTTGCCCCCAGGAAATCCCGCAGTACTTTGAAATGGCGTTTTTGGATTCTTCCACAGATGCTCTCTGACATCACGGGCAGTCTACTGAAGCCAAACCTAATCTAAAGAACAGAAATAGAAGTGGAAACAGTTCAGTGATCTGGATTTGAAAGATGATTGAGAGCACACAGGACACCAACAAGCAAGTTCTTAAAGAAGCTGCACCTTCTCCTGGGCTCACATGTCATTCCCAAAGATTAGGAATTAATTTAAGAGGGGCTGACAGGTGCAACAGGCATGACTCCAAATCATCGTTTCCTCTTCAAATCCCTTTCACCGCACGCCCTAAAAGAAAATGCTACAAGTTCAGTAAGATTTGAATTTAGGTAAGCTTATTTCAAAGCACAGCCTCGATATGTACAAAGCTTGTCCCTATTGACATGGCTAAGTCTGACTTTCATTTCTGTCTTTGGGAGATAAGTGTTTCTGTAGACAGTAACTGTCTAAACTTAATTCACTCATATATAAACATTTGTCAGCTTGGTCACTAGAATCTTTGTACAGGATTAAGTGATTATTTTTCATGTAAAAAGTCCTTGAGATCAACCAACAATTCTGGAATCTTTCTGGAAGGGCATTCTTTTTGCCTGGGCTAGGTTGTTTTTTTTCCTCCAACAACACTATAATTCAGACATTAATGACATATTTTGTTAATCTGAGTAAACTGGGGACCTGATACTTTTATAAAAAGGTCCTCTGAATATTCCAGAGCTTTGCTGATAGCTCCAAGGATATCTAGTTGCGATATCCGGGAAGAATATGTATGGAGAAATTTGCACTTTACATGTACTTCTGGCATGAGTGTTTGGCTGTCATGGCAGTTCTCTCTGCTAATTGCCCTTAGGGGGTGATGAGGGCTAGTTGAGAGCCAGGCCATTTGGCAAAGATTCTGTTCTTAGACAAAAAAAGAGAAAGGAACCGTTTTTGCTATGCCTGTCACCATTGGCAACAGTGTGAGGAAAAGAAAGGCCTGGCTGTAAAGACGGCCTGTGTCCTAATCCTGAGTTTCTGAGGCAGATGTCCCTGTACTCCTTCCTCCCTTGGTGGTACTCGGCTGCCTCCGCTGATCAGCATCCCTTTCCCCAGAAGGATGCCTAGGAATATACATCAGCAACTCAAGGAACATCGTAATCCTAGGATAAGTTATTTCTGTTTTCGTTTTTTAACGCTACATGCTTTGCGGCAATGACACCACATTCTTACTATTTTAAACATCAGTTTGGACTCTTAAGAGGAAAGGCAATACATATGATTAAAATATTATAAAATTTGCACTCAGGAACTGAATCAGGCAGGTTGGTGTCCAATGAACCCTTCACCCAGGGCTAGAGACTTCTTTCTCTGATTAGCCTCCTGTATATAGAATTGAGCTTGTGATTTTTAGAGAGACGTACTTAACAATGGCACTCCCAACTATAGCCTTGACAAGTGAATCAGGAGAGTATATGTACCTGGTAGAGGACAACTGGAAAGAAGCACTTTTTAAAAACATCCATTTGTTTCACAGCGTTCCATTCCTTAAAACAAATGTCTAAATCTAATGTCTGGTTTATTTTGGGCCTCGTCAATCTGTTTTAAACAGTCCTTATGACAGCCAGCTATTTGGCATGTGCTGTGGTAAAACCATATGAAATAAACAGACATCTGTTTTACACTTGAGCATGACCAACCCTCAGAGTAAACCTATACGAGAGCTGTGAAATCTTGAGATAAGGAAATCTAGTATTTAAGCGGGTCTTCGGATGGAGAGACTGACTGCTCACCTAGTCTCAAAACTATACCAGCCCAGTTACTAGTTTTGGGGGAAACTGATCACAGAACCATCAGAGTTACTTTGTATGGAAAAGCTGGTGGAAATCACTTTTTCTAGTGGGTAATTACCAGGTTTCTCTATTCGAACAATCCAATCTATTTAAAAACTATTTTGTGGGCATAGATGACCAGGCTTCTTCTAGCAATAAACCTAGTAAAATCCTTCAGTTGGGGCAGGCTCAGGGAAGTCAGTAAATTGAAACACTTGTATGCAATGTAATCCTCTGATAATATCATTTTGTCGCAATTCAGCGGGGTGGTTTTTTTTTTAACACTTATGGCAAAAGTTTGTTTTGGGGGTGCCTTTATACCCCTTGAGATCCCTGTAGGCTCATTTTGGAGTGCATGTGCTCAGTCCCTCTCAAATGGACTCTCTGTAGTATTGCACCCCAAAACTTCTCCCCTTCTAGCGTGGCTTACTTGTGAATCAGAGATTTCTGAAGGCTTCTCAGTAAGGCTGCTGCTCTCGGCTGGAATGAGGTCATTGTACTTTGTAACATCTTCATCTGAGTAGTGCAGTGAGCCTGGGCTGGGCCGTGGTGGGGACCTTAGGAGAGACACAGACACTCTGAGATGTCATTCAGAAGGAAGCCAGTTTTGAATGGAAGAGCAAGGAGCCGCTCCCAGATTTGTTTACCCCCCTCCCCACGCCCCCTTCTTCTCACGAGCCTGGAAGCCTCTGGTACCTTGTATATATTCCATTCTTCCTGCAGAAGGAATTTTTTACTGACATGCGTCGATTGTTCAGTTCTAGAGCAGGGAAGCTGCTCTCATCCAGGCTGACCATTTCACCGTGGCTAAGTGCATTTGACTTGGAGTTGCTCCCTGAAACAGGGAGAGGGAAACAAGAACAGAAGCTGTTAGTAATTTGGAGTCTCTCTTTTTTTTAGGGCACAGAGGCTTCTGCCAAACTCCTTTCTCGCCCAAAGAACGCATTTCAGAAGTTTGTTCTAAACTTTCTGATTTTTTTTAATTGTGAGTCATCAGCGAAAAACAAGACCTAGCTCCCCTCTATGAGCTATCATTTGATGCTGAGTGAGTGAGATAAATATCCCTGTTAACACAATGTAAGGCACAATTTCCTGAATCTCTTACATTGTTCATACAGGCTTTGCACCCAGGACAACATTTTGTACTATAATTTTAATATAATTCTCATACTATTTCTTATTATTTACCTCTTCTTGATCCTACACAGGAATAACACAGGGTAATTGGGGTAAATAGGAATGTGCTAAATGAAATTAAGGATTTACAGCAAGTACTGCAAAATATTTTTTTAAGGAAATCAGCATCAATTTCCTAATTAAGAACAAGCCATTAATTATCTCTCAGTATTCCCAATCCTGAAATATGGGTGCTGAGCCCTTTTGGGATTCCTAGCATTTACCTTCTCAATGAGGAGATTGGATCACTTCCCAGCAATAAAAGCTTTACACGACTATTTTAAGAGACAGTGCATGGAAACTTCTGCGCGTGCTCACTCAGAGAACTGTGACCAAGATTATGGAGCACTAGAGCCGGCCAGTGGAGATGATGCTCTGTGCTACAAGATGGATTTTGTGTAAGGCAGAAGAGGGGGGAAACTGACAGGCGCGTGCAAATTGCATTGGCTATGTTAAGAATTGCTTGAGGATTTTTTAAAGATAAGTTCCAAAGCATTCAGATCACCTACAGTGAACTTTTTTTTTTATATGTGACTTATCTTTACAAGAAAGTAATGCTTACCACTGAAGCGTTCAGGAATTTAGCTAAATAGATACAGTTAATATGGTCACAAAATCAATGGCTTTCATTAGCATTGCCAATTCCCTATTAGGGATGGGTTTAACAGGGAGAACTCCTCTGTAGTCACTGAGATTATTTTGCACAGCATTTTGCTGACAGAAACACTAACATCTTGAATCTTGCATTTGAAGGCAACCCCGAAACTGCAACTGGTGCAAAATGCAATGGTTTGGTATCTGATGGATATCACTTATTCCAAGGAGACTATAAAGATGCTTTGGGTTCTACATTGGTTACCACTTTGGGTCAAAGTGCTGGCTTTGACATATAAAACTTTATATGACTTGGTATTTAGATACCTGCTGGATTACTTTCTCCTATCCAAATTGTCCTGGCCAGTATGTATTTCTCAGGAGAAGCTTTTGATCCTACTACACTTTTGTGAAATAAGGGGAATGGTGGTCCCACTTCTCATAAGGCTGTGTCAGCCTTATGAAATGCCATCCTTTTAAGGATTAAGATTTACCCCACCCCTTCTCATGTTTTATAAAGTATCGAAGAGGGCATCTTTCCAAAGAAAATTTGGTGGAATAATTTGTTACCATCACCTTGTAATTTTGATTGGTTAAATAATTATCTTTATATTCACCCTGGACTTTTAAATTGGTTTGGGTGTTTTTTTGTTAATTTCTTGCAAGCTGCTGTGAGTTTCTACCAATTTGGTGGCACACAAGCTGGATGGATGTATGGATGGATATCTGATGTGCAGTGCCCTCAGTGGAAAACTCCTGTTTATGGCAAATGAAGGCTTGAGACGATGCTGGTACTCACCTGAATCAGATTTCTTGGCATACTTCTTACTCTGCCCACGAATGATAAGGACAAAGACTAGGAGGAGGATGAAGATGAGTCCCACCAAAGCAATGACCACCAGAAACCACCATTCTTCATAGAAGGGATTGGCTTTTTGAGCTGCAACACAGGAAGAGGAATCAAGTAATTTTTTCCCTATAGGGATACCTGTGCCCCATACACATTGTTTCCTATAGCTTTTACTTAAAGGTTAGTTCAAAGCATGTTGGCGTGACAGAAGTTGGATTCTATCCTTAATACCTGATACTGAAGGAGATGGACTGCTAGGTGTCCCATAGCCATAGTCATTGACGGCAATGACTCGAAAATCATAGCTGACACCCTGCTTCAGAATATCCATGCTGAAAGTGTAAGAAGTCACTTCTTTGGGAATATCCTTTATGAGAATGTCCCACAGTCCCTCATCTGGAAGAGAAAGAGATCAGTACAGTTGCAATATGAAATGCAAAAACACAGGAATACACAAATACACGTCAAATGTAGGAGAATGGTGTCCTATGGGCTGGAAAGTGACTTTAGGGTCCCAATTCTAAAAATAACGACAGAAACATGCAAGCAATTTGTTTATGCAATTAATTGCGGCATTTGTTTGTTTTGTACAACAGGAATCTTTACTTTTAAAAAAATACTTGATATTTTACTTACAATTTGTCCAAAATATTCTTGCATGCAGAATATATATATATATATATATAGGGATTAAAAAAATCAAAAGGCATGCCAATTCCAAAGAGCAGTGAGCAGAGTCCCACAACAGTTGTGAAAATGTCATTGTACAGCAGGTTCATAGTTCTCTAGAAAGATTTACTTTTAATTAGTTGCAGTTGCAGCCAGTTCAGAATATAGATCATGTTGTCTCCTCAAACTGTGTAATTCATAGAAGATGCACAGGGATGTCTTAGTTGGAAGATTTACCTTATAAACTCACTAGAACATTTTAGAATTTCTGCTGATTAGTTTAAGCATCAAAAAGGAGTCACAAAGAGGATGTGCCTATGATTTTGTTTTAGCACAGGCCTGTATATTTGACCTACATGGCAGTAGGAAACATATTTATATGATTTATGAGTTATCTGCATTGTACAGCTGTCTGCTGAAGCATCATGGTACTTACATTATACATTCTTTATTGGAGGACTACCTTATAGCTCTAGTAGCCAGATAGATTGCTGCACATGATTAACAGGGACCAACATTAAAAATTAATGTATGGGGCTTCTATTTACCCATGGGATAAATGCCATGGAGATGGAAAAGGAAAAGGAAGTTCAGCTTCAATCTTTAGAAATCCAGATTAATTTCCTCAGATCAACTTTCTGATGACACAACAGTGATTGGTCTCATTCGAGACAATGATGAATCTGCATACAGACAGGAGGTTGTACAACTTGCCTTGTGGTGTAACTGGAACAATCTGGAACTGAACATACTCAAATCCATAGAAATGGTGGTAGATTTTAGAAGAAACCCTCCCATACTACCACCTCTTACCATACTAGACAACACGTATCAACAGTAAAGACCTTCAAATTTCTAGGTTCTACTATATCACATGATCTAAAATGGACAACTAACATCAAAAGATGTCATCAAAAAAGCACAACGAACAATGTTCTTTCTGCCCCAACTCAGAAAGCTCAAACTGCCGAAGAATCTGCTGATTCAATTCTACAGAGGAATTATTGAGTCTGTCATCTGCACCTCTATAACTGATTCAGTTCTGCAACCCAAAAAGACAGACATGAACTTCAGAGAGGAATTAGCACTGTAGAAAAAACAATTACTGCCAACCTGCCTTCAATCGAGGACCTGTATACTGCACGAGTCAAAAGGGCTGTGAAAATATTTACAGATCTCTCATATCCCGGACATAAACTGTTTCAACTCCTTCCCTCAAAACGACGCTATAGAGCACTGCACACCAGAACAACTAGACACAAGGACAGTTTTTTCCCGAATGCCATCACTCTGCTAAACAAATAATTCCCTTCAACTATTTACAAGGTCTGCACTACTATTACTGTTAATCTTCTCATCACTCCTTATCCCCTCCCACTTGTGACTGTATGACTGTAACTTTGTCGCTTGTATCCTTACGATTTATATTGACTGTTTCTTAGTATGATTTGATTGCTTATTGTACCTATCATTAAGTGTTGTACCTTATGATTCTTGACTCTTGATGAATGTATCTTTTCTTTTATGTATACTGAGAGTATTTGCACCAAGACAAATTCCTTGTGTGTCCAATCACACTTGGCCAATAAAAGAATTCTTTCGTTCTTTTTCCTTTTTTCTTTCTTGTAGAGATCTTTGGTCTTTCCTAAGATCCTGCTTTTATTGGCAGTTGTTATGATCGCAACTGAGCCCAAAATTTCCATTGCTAAATGAGACAGTTGTTAAGTGAGTTTTGCCTCATTTTATGACCTTTCCTGCCACAGTTGTTAAGTGAATCAGTAGAGTTGTTAAATTAGTAACATGGTTATTAAGTGAATCCGGCTCCCTCGTTGACTTTGCTTGTCAGAAGGTGGCAAAAGGCGTGACCCCCAAGACACTGTAATCAGCATAAATATAAGCCAGGTGATGATAAGCATCCAAATTTTGATCACGACCATGCTGCAATGGTCATAAGGGTGAAAAACAGTCATAAGTCACTTTTTTTCAGGCTGTTGTAACTTTTAACAGTCATCAAACAAATGGGTTGAGGACTACCTGTATTTCCTCCCATGTTAAACACCTTATTTCCCCCCGGCCATCCTTTGTACGATGTATCAACAACTAGAACACGGAAGGCACTAGGTAGAGCCATAAAAATCATTTAAATTTAAAAAAAAAGCAAAATAAAGCTGGTTAAAGTTTAGGGATATGAGTGGCACTTGGCCTCTATTGAATTGAATGATTCCTCAGTCTTTCTTGGTAGTTCTTTCTGTTATACTAGCAAGACTTCAAAACTCGACTTCTATATTACATGGAGAGGAAGCAATATGATCTCTATTTCTTCTGAAAACCCAGAGTCCAAATTCCAAGGAGTTTAAAGTCTAAAAATTGATGGTGTGCTAAAGACAATGGGATGCAAGAAGAAGCAGGATGAACACAAATAAATGCTCAGATGTAATTTGATTTCTCTGGGAAGGGGGAAAGAATCCATAATGACATCATTGAAAAAAAGAATAAGAACTGTAAAGAGGGATTTGTATAAAAAGAGAAAGTACAAGCTAGTTCGACTGGGAAAGAGATTCAGGATAAATGAATGTGAGAATGGAATTAGAAAGGAAAATTATGAAGCTGGAAATCCAGAGATAGGGATATATGGGGATGCAAAGATCAGAAGATCAATTATGACTCTCTTCACTTACGATGCTTTCAATTCTAATGATGTCCTGTTTCATTCAGGATGCTAAAATGATTGTGTCAACTCGTAAATCATTCCTAAGTTGACAGTTGTGTGGTACTTCGTGGTACTTGAGGCTCTATTCTGACAGCCCGCTCTCTGCCACGGTTGCCTGAGTTTCTTTCCACGCACCCCAGATGGGAGTCGAACCCACAATCTGTGGCTTAGGAATGATATCTCTCTACTAATATGGCTGCATCTTTGTTCAGTTTTGGTTCCTTTGGCTGTGTACAACATTAGCAACATTCAGATGTGCACATAAATAATCCATTACAGGTACTGTTAACTTTCTGTGTCAGGATAAGTACTGTCAGTCTTTCACACATTCTTTGATAAGCATTCTAGACTTAATGACAATTAATAACCTCCATGCCCTGACATCTGCTCATTTCGAGGTCTGTGAAAGACAGTTATTTTGCAGCAGCTTTATTAAAAAAGGAAGCCCCAAGTCTCTTTCAAAGCAGTTGGGTGATTTATGTCCTTGTATGTACTCAGTTCCTGGCCTCTGGGTTCATCAATCATCCCTTTTAGCTGAACATTTCATTTCCCAGAATTATCCTCTTATAAAAGGGAGGAGGAGAAAGCTGAGTATACTGTATCCTTTGGGAGAGGAAGACTCCCCAAAAGTAAATTCATCCAATGAGATTTTTGGCTGGAAAGAGGCAAATGCATCAATGGGGGAAAAGTGCCTTTAATTTGTCATTCCACATTACGGAGAGATTTGAAATATATTAGTTTAATGTATTCAGAAAGAAATTCCCAGGTCTGGATATTCAGTTTCAAGTTACTTAAGCAGCTCACAACTGTTATGACATCAAGAACCAGAAAAGTTAATTTCCAAAATGTGTGCAGCTAGAATAACTGCGCTATGAAAGAACTACTAATGAATATTAACACCTTATATGAATATATGATGTTACCCATGGAAGAAACTGACCTTTGCTTAATTTACCATTTTTGTTTAGTTTTTTCATAAGGAAAAAATAATCCCATCTCATCTCTTCTTTGACTAGATTATTCAATCATTTCTGATCCAGCAGAAGAAGACACCCAAATAAATTACTCATTTAGAGATCTTCTGGAAGAAACGGGGCTCAGGGTAAGAAAGTTCAGTTGATTTTCTGGCTGTTCAAATAATCAAAGGAGCCCAGAGCCATGGGTGAAACAATCAAAGGAAGGTGAACTGAATCCAGTATCGGTACCTGAAGGACGTGCTTCAATGACGTATCTGGTGATGGGCCCTTTTCCTGGGTCACCACTCGACCAGTGGATTGTGATGGCTGAACCATATCTGGAGATGAAGGGCTCACCGGGAGGACCTGGAGCACCTGCATTTTTTTTAACAACAACAACATCATTATATCATATAAGTGGAAAAATTGTGCTGTGAGGTAACACAAAGACTTCAGATGAGCCCTATAAGAATCACGCCTTACAGCAGGGGTTTCCAAACTTGGCAACTTTAAGATTTGTGAACTTCAACTCCCAGAATTCCGTATGGTAGCTGAGGAAATCTGGGAGTTGAAATCCACAAGTCATAAAGTTGCCAAGTTTGGAGACCTCTGTCTTAGAGGATATTGGAGAATGCTCCTCTAGTATTGAAACAGTATTCTTGTGGAGTTGATGGTGGACCTTGCATTTCCTTCTCCACATTGTCTATCTCCAGTGGCCTTAACTATATCATCTTCTAAGCCAGGGTGTGAAACTCACGTCGTCACAGCTGCGTCACGTCATGAATCGAGACTTTTTTCCCCTATGTTAAATTGGTCGTGGGCGTGGTCAGCATGTGACGCATCCGGCCCACGAGCCGGGAGTTTGATAGCTCTGTTCTAAGCAGATATCAGCTGGACAACTCAGTCCTAACCCAAGTATCTTCTGGGCTTTAATTAGGGTCAAATGGACCCAAATAAGAGTGCAATAAATGGTTTGGGGGAGAAACAAGCAAGGTTCCCCCCCTCTCCCAAAGGATACTTTAAAAAAAAACTTTTATTTTTTTTTCCCCCAGGCTGAGGAGGAATATGAAAAGTGACATCATCAGTGGACTGCTGGGCTAAATTTTACAACCTGTTTTTAATAATGTTTGAATGTTGCCTAATTCATCACACAAAGTAACATATTATTTAGTTACAGTGCGGTCTCATGAAGTTTCACTGGGTGGCTGAAGGCTATTAAGCTTTCTCAGCCTAACCTACTCATAATAGGGTTATTTGGTATGTGGGCAGAGATGGGAGGAGAAAGTGAATATTTCATTTGAAATCTTGAATGAAAAGCAAGATATAAAACTAAAATATATAAATAAAATATTTTAGCACTAAATAATATATGAAAGACAAAAAAATGTTACCAAAGGTGTGTTTTGATGCTGGATTTTACAATTCTGGTAAGTTGCAAATACCAGAAAAATGATATTTTACAGAGTAAGCTATTTTATATTCATTTCTTGTTATTCTGTTATATTTAAAAAGAAATTTTTGAAGCGTTAAAAATGTAGTTTGAGCTGATTCATGAATTTATAATATAGACATTTTGGTTTAATATGGATGTTAGCCGTCCGGTTAATTAAATAATATACCTGCTATTTATAGGCATTTATCAGCTAGGGAAAACATTCCATGTGCAAAACTAAGTGGCTTTCAGAGAGAAATTTTTCCAGATACTGGGTAATCCACATTTACTGAGCTTAAAAGGTTTACAATGCTGGACTCAACACTGGAACATATGAAGAAACAACCGAGTAAGCACAACTGAGATTCCTTTTACAAAGAGTCACCTTATTATTACACAAACATGAAGGGCTCTGGCATTTCAGATTATTTTATGATATTTTTTTTCTCTTTAAGAATTTGCATGGGCCACATGAATTGATGGCAACTTTTTCAATGATCTTTGCTAGGCCAAGGAATAGGGAGAACTCTAGAACATTGGGATCGGGGGACAGTTCAGAACAATGATGGTGTGTATAATTAGCCATTATATTTATTTGTGTAGTTATCTCTTTGCTTTCTATGTGATTATGACTGTAGAAAACCATTCAGTTCCATTCTGTCTAAATATGAAGAAAGAAGAAATATGATTTTGCTACACTAATCAACAGACTTGGAAGACAAGGAGAAACTCTTTATCAAACCTGAAACTGAATCCAGTACTATTTAAGCATCTCAGATTAGGCAGGCTCCTATTAAAATACTGGAGTCATAGAGGAAATATTTCTGGGCATGGAGGTGGTTTATTATTGGGCATGGTCCTGGCCTAGAGGTGGATCTCTTGCCTCACGATCAGGAGGCTGTGAGTTTGATCTTAGGTAGCAGTGGATATTTCTCTGGCAGAATGAGTATTTGCTACGAACTCTGCATTGGCTACAGGAAGGGCATCCGGTCAGTAAACATTCTGCTCCATTCAGTTGCTTTGACTCCACCCCGTAAGGGATTATGGGGTCATTCAAAGACAAAAAAAAAAGGTCCTAGTTTAAATTCTAATTGTTAAGATCTGTTAAGAGTAGGTGAAAAATGATGGAGAAAGCAATCTCATCTCTCAGTTTCCTTGATGTACCTTCCCCTGGCCCCGTGGTGATGTTGGCTTCTACTTCTGGACCATAAATGAAGGTCTTGGCTCGAATTCGGAATCGGTAGGTGACACCTTCGGACAAGTCCTTGACTTTCAACCACAAAGGACTGTTTCCCTTCACGTCCACGGTCACAATTTTGCTGACGCCTGGAAGGCAGAAAGGTGCATATTTTGAGATGAATTCAGGAGACTGGGTAGAGTGGGGAATAAAGGTGGTCTGGGAGCATCCAATAAAAGCACCCTGGTCTGCAACAGGGGATGAGGCTGCTATTGGGCCATTCCAGGGAAAGAAGCAGTGGCTGATTTCAGTATCCCATTCTCCATGTTATTTTACTGGGCCACTTGGCAGGATCAGGCCTTGTGATGATGGTTTTACAATGGTTCTAATCCTTCATGTGAGAACACAGTAAGAAAGCAGCATTGGGAACTACAATTTGACATCTGTTTTGTTGAATGATGTTGATTCACAGGCTCAACTTTGCTTTTTGTATTATGTGGACTGACATTGGGGTACAATGTAAACATAAATAAAAGATTATAGATAGATAGATAGATAGATAGATAGATAGATAGATAGATAGATAGATAGA